TGGATTAAAATCTTTCTTGAATTGGTGCACTCAGGATATATGTGGAAATAATGCCTGTGTCCTGTGTGAGGGCTCCTGTGCTTTTGTGTTTATGCCATTTATCTAGCATTTAAGGAGGATAAATTTAGGGAAATAAAAAAATCAGTACATCATTTTGTTACATAATCTGGAACCAGAAACCTTCCCCATGAAAGTAGTAGCATAACAAGGTGTGGGTGCTTGGGGCATGAGTCCACAGCACAAGGACAGCAGCTGCTGGCTCAGCTACTACAGCCAGCTTGGACTTAATGTTTGTTGCCCTTGCTTCTGATGCTGCTAGCACCCCAAAGTACTGGTAGTTAAACCTCTGCTAAATTGTTTGGTCTTCATTATGAAAGATGTTGTTTTATGTTGAGGTTCCTTGAGCTTCCTTTTCACAAAAGTGAATGTTCTAAGATATTTCGGTATAATGAAGCCGAATGTGTTTGAACTATTATGTCCAAAAAAAATTCTGATTGAGAGAGACTTCTGTTTTAATTGCACCAAATGCAAGAATGCTAAATCAGGGCACAAAACAGGTATCTTATTTTTGTTTATACTTGTTGATGCTAGATTCAAATGGGTAGAAAACAAATTTTCCAATCTATGAATGCAGGAGATGATGTTACCAGATTTGCCCATTACTTTGGGGTGTGCTGATTTATTAGGGATAGTTTCTAGGGTCTTGGTGATTCTGTCAATGTGCTGCTTGTGTTACTATACGGAGCTGTATCTCTCCCTTCTGCAAGCCCTCACCCCCAATGGAGCTATCTTGCAGGACTCAATCTCAATGGGGCTGGGTTCCTCCAGTCCCCAGATCAGTCATACACACAAATTAACGTGACATGCCTGACCCGGCCGGGTTGATCAGCATGGACAGTCTGACTCCCCCCATATGCCAAAAATCAGTTCATAAGAGCAACAATAAAATGCAGTCAGACACAAGCACGCAGGTGAACAGAATCCCTCTGAATCCTGCTGGGTGTCCAGCTGACACCCTCATGGGCCAGCATTCAGTTCATAAGGGCACGTCTGAGTCAAACTGGGTCAATCAGCCTGTACAAGCTGATCCCCATATGTGTTTCAAACTCAGCACGTCCCAATCTTTGGCCTCTTGATGAGCAGACCCCACAATAATTTGGGCTTCACAGGGATCTTTAGCATAGGTAAAAGAAGCGTTGCTGCAGAGCACGGGAGGAAAGAGAAGCAGAGAAGGAAAAATATACACAACTACTACCAGTTTGACTATAAAAGTTATTTATTGCTAAGCATATGAAATATATAATAGTACTAGTAGTAATAGACATGCAAAAGAAAAACAAACACAAACAATTACAGTACTACCCTGGTTTCACTAAGTATTTGGGGAAACTTAGCTCAAGCTTAACTGATACAGTTCAGGTTCAGAAGTTTATGCCTAGAAAGAAGACAGAGAACGCTGGGATCTCACCTAGTCCACGGTACTCAGGCTGCAAAGCTGACAGGCACAGTCTGTAGCACAGTCCTTGAAGGGAGAGATGATCTGTTCTTCCAGCGTCCCAAGAACGACAGGGGATGGTGTCAGCACAGGGGTTTTCTTCTTCTCCTTCTTTCCTCCTGCTTCTACTTCTTTTCCTTCCTTTTCCTCTTCTTTCCTCTTCTAGCAGCACACACACTTACAGATTTTTATACCCTCAGTTCAGCTGCTCCGTAGCACCCTCAGTAGTGTAAATCATTGTCTTTTCTATTGACAAGGGGTTATCTGGTTTGGACCATCTCAGGAAACTGATTGATAATCAGGAAACACTTAAGATTAGGGAGTAACCCAAATACTTGGGAGCCAGCTTGAGATTCCTATGGGTGGCAGATATACTGATGGGATATCTCATGGTTTCTTCAGTAACAATAGATAGCTTGCAGCATCAGGATTTTGGATTTTTACTTGTTGTGCACAAGCCTCAGCTTAGCATGACTTTTCCAGATCTTACTATAGTCTTTTAACAGACTTAAAGCAATTATTGGGGTGCTCATAACCTTTTGTGGAGAGGACTCCCACCAGTCGTCTCGGGAAAAGTATGACAACACCTGGGATTAGGGCTCCAACGGGTTGGATGCTGTGATGAACCCTTAACCATTGTTCAAATGTTGCCCATACCCGCTCTGACTCGGTCTCTTGCCTCAGCATTCCCTAACCCGTCAACCGAGTTTTAGTCAATCAAATTTAAATAGGCCTCCCATAGTGGGATCAGGGAATGTACGGCCTAAACTTAGAGGTGTGTGTGTGTGTCTGTGGGGGGAAAAGTCCTTAGTAAATCCAGATTAGAACTGGTCTGATAAATGCTGAGCTGGGTGTGTGTGAGCATGGGTTGATTAGCATTTGGAGCACAGATTCCCCATCATGCAGTGCTCCCCTGCTTCTCTGGTCCCAGAATTCACTGCAGTCTCTGCTTCAGGCTTTCTGTTCTCCAGCTCTCATGTAAATGAATGGTCATCTGGTTCCATCTTGGATGCAAATGAGACCTAGGGCAGTTGGTTCACTCTTGTCACTCTTATCTTGAGGGTCTTAGGTGTGTCTCTCACTGCATCTTAATCAGTTTCGTTTAGGTAGAGGAGGGGAGGGAGGCGGGGTGAGTCAGACTGCATCCTGTGCCAGGGTTCCCAAGAACACGCAGCTGAGACGTAACAATGACCACAAGCCAGTGATTCGCAACTAGGATGACATGGCATCCTGGGGTGCCTTGAGATCCTTTCAAGGGTGATGCAAGGTGGTGCACAATGTTAGTTAGCATTGTTAGGTTTACAAATGTGATTCACGAGATAAACCAACAGATTTCAAATAGAAATCAATATTTGTGGTCCTTCTAAGTTCTTTGTAGCAGAAAAACTGCTGTATTATATTTCTGTTGGCCAAAAAAGAGTGAAAACTAAGAGCTGGCATTTCCTTAGGTGTGCCTCGAGCCTAAAAAGATTGAGAACCGCTGCTATAAGCCATATAGTCAGCCTAGTGTAAACGTTGTTGTAGGAATACTTTTAATATTCTTAATAGAAGAGCTTTGGCTGCTCTTTAAGAATAACCTTTCATACTTTATACTGTCTGAAAATCCTGATATATATATTTTTAAAATCTGTTTGCAGGATCTGGAGATCGTATATTCTTATTTACATGGAATGGAAGCGCTATCTAATCTGAGAGAGCACCAGTTCAGGTATGGATATTTAACACTAAAAATACAATGATATTTGTATATGGGAGGAGGGATATGGTAATAGATCATTAAAAAGTATGCATGCGAGTCTGTGTTAGCTTGTACTTTATGGCAATGACTGGCTTAATATTTTGCTACGTAAACAGAACAATCTTAAAATATTTTAAGATACCAGTTGTCTGTCTCATCATATATTTATTTTTTTAAAACCACAATAATGGAGATTTGTAAAAAACTGGCTCCAGAAATTTTTACCACGTCATTTAGAGTAGCTATTCAAACTTTGTCAAGTATTTCATTGAATAATTGTTACTAAATACTACTTGGAAAGTTTTAAACTTTTTTTAAAGTCAGAACTGGCTACAGTTTCATAGATTTCATAGATTTTCATAGACATCAGGGCTGGAAGGGACCTCGGAAGATCATCGAGTCCAGCCCCCTGCCCAAAGGGCAGGAAGTCAGCTGGGGTCATAGGATCCCAGCAAGATAAGCATCCAGTTTCATCTTGAAGGTGTTCAATGAAGGTGCTTGAACCACCTCCGGTGGCAGGCTGTCCAGACCTTGGGGGCTCGGACAGTAAAGAAGTTCTTCCTTATGTCCAGCCTGAAACGATCTTGAAGTAGTTTGTGACCATTCGACCTCGTCATCCCTTGGGGCGCTCTGGTGAACAAACGTTCCCCCAGATGCTGGGGGTCACCCCTGATAAACTTGTAGGTGGCCATCAGATCACCCCTGAGCCTGCGCTTTTTCAAGCTAAAGAGCCCCAGGGCTCTCAGCCTGTCATCGTAGGGTCTGCTTCCCTGACCTCTGATCATGCGCGTGGCTCTTCTCTGGACTCTCTCAAGCTTCTCCACATGCTTTTTGAATTGTGGAGCCCAAAACTGGACACACTACTCCAGCTGCGGCCTCACTAAGGCCGAGTACAGGGGGAGAACGATGTCCCGGGATTTGCTTGAGAAGCATCTATGGATGCAAGCCAGCGTTTTGGTCGCTTTACTAGCCGCCGCATCGCACTGCAGGCTCATGTTCATCTTGTGGTCAAAGTTGAAGTAATTTGGTTTATAAAATTGAATGTATAGTTTTCAATTGGTTATAATTAGTCAAACTTTAAACTGTCTGGGATAAAAGTTCCATGCTGCATGTTTGTCTAAGATTTGAAGTTTTTAAGAAAGTTTCAGCAAAAATGGCTGAAGTACTTTTGGAAAAGTGATTACAGAACAAATACATTTTCCTAATTATTACGTTCTTGTGGTTGTTGGTAGAAGTTCATATAATGTCATGCAGTGGCTTAAAATTTGGCGGGGGGGGGGGGGGGGTCATCCTGTGGTCAGGATGACCTCCCCCCTCCCCCCCCCCCTTGTAATCCAGCCTCTGTTGCAGGGCTGGGTCAGGCAGTGGAAGCCATGGGAGGGATGGGGAGCTGTAGGACCTTGGCTGCTGCTGCAGCCGCAGTGATGGGGGCAGCCACTGCTGGGTGGGAGCCCAAGGACCACATGTTAATCCCTTGTGGACTGCCAGTTGGACAGTCCTGTTCTATGCCATCACTATAATTTCACTAAATTATTTTTTTTCTGATTCTGTGATTGCTGGTACTGATTATCCTGTTAGATTTGGAGAGAAATAATGTATTGCATAATGAAATGGTACCTTGGCTTTATGAACTACTAGCAAACTCGGTATTCTTTTTATAAATGTTTTTGTATGGCAAAATGTTCATGTAGTGAGTTAGTTCTGCTTCTAGGAGGTTGGTTTGACATTTAATTTTCCTAAATTTGTATGTCAACTGGGGGTGGAGGGAGGGAGAGATGGAAACATGCTAGATTTTGACTAAGGGAAATAAAATGAATTACTGTTACCTTACATATAGAGAGGTTTTCTTTGCCCTTCAAAGTCGTCTTATACAATTTTGTCATAGCATGGTTTTGTTTTTTTTTTAATTGAAGAATGTGCAGAAAATATTTTGCAAGTTGCATGTTGCAAAGTTAAAGAGGAATTTTTGTAAAACATTAATTTTGTTAAGAATTGTGAGCTTTAATCACACTTGCTGTTAAAAATATAACCTACTCAGAAATCAAGCAGAGTAGTCTTAGTATACTACTAGGATTAAATTGACTTTAAACAGAGATCAGAAGTGTCAATATGGTTGTATGATAGAGAAAGAGATGGTTTTTTGGCTTGCTAACTGGAAGAGAGTCAAGAGATTCTTGCTAAGGAATGTGTGGAACTTGCCCGAACTACTAACATAATACATTCCTAGAAGAGAGCTTCTGTTTACAGTACCATACATGGGAAAGGCTGTATCTTTCACAAATATGAGAGTGGTGGTTTTACAGCCATTTCTAGAATACTAAAACTTTTAAGGGCAGCATTTTTAATTTGGAAACCACCAAGGAAGTTTTTAGAAGGAAGTTGTTCTTTTCCATACAACATTTTTTTTTTTTTTTCAGTGGTGAATCATTTTAGAGCTTATTGAGGCAGTTTTGGTTCAAGTTTATAACATGAATACACTGTGAGGTAACCAGATGTCATATTCAAAAAAGGTCAGAGCATTCTTGAAGGCTGTTCAGAAATGTGGTAAGTTGAGGAAACAATAAGATACTTACTATAAAAGTACTTTATTACAGAAATGTATTTGGGTAGTAAATGACATTATTGTAATTACTGAGAACAGCGTAGTTTCTAAACCCTGACTGCTTATTGTTGAGAATTCTTTTGTTCTAGCAGAGCAGAGATGGAAGTTATAAAAGAACAAGTTCTACTTTTAAAACCAAAAAACCTCATTTCCAGCATTTTCTTCTTCCTTTCCTTAGCTACTTTTAGCTTCTCTGCTCTTTTGATATATGACCAAAAAACTAGAGAACCAGTACCTGAACATGAAGATCACAGACTTTGGATCAGTTCTTGGCCTTAGTTTTAAAGCTGTAGGACTTTCTTATGGAAAGATGCATTGCTCTTGTGATGGACAATATTTCATCAGTAGACTATACTAACAGAGTTCTGAGTTTCAAGTATAGGGATAGAAGATTTTCAGTAATGAGAAATCTCAGACAAGAAGTGAGTTGTGAATATCTCTGCTATGTCAAAGAGGACTGGTTCAGTAGAGTACCTTAAATCTGGAGGAGGAAAACATAATCCCAGGGAACAAATGGTCACATTCACATCAGGAGTAAGGAAATACTTCAGATCTGGTGATACTCCTTAGGAAGAAGTTGCAAACTAGAAGCCATCATGGTTATTGACGTGAGGTTAGTGGGAGCAAGCTCTTTTTATGAGTTTGCCTTGTAAGAAAAACTGTTAGACATCAGGTAATTCTGGTAGGACTGAGTTTCCATCGAGGCCATGGAACTAGGAGTCAATAGAAATGGTAGTGAGAAAAAGCTTTCCCATGGAGACATGCAAATCGGAGCCAAATCAGTTCATCCATCTATTGACAGTATGGCTTTTGAGTGAGACTTCTTGTCCAGGTTGAATATGCTACTGTAAAACTACACCTTGATATCAAGTAACTGAGGGTTTGCACGTCATCTGCACACTGCAGGTTTTATTTTTTTCTGCTGCACTGAGCAGACCTCTAGGGACAAAGGATATGTCTGGAATTTAAATGTAATTCTTCATATTTTAATAAAATATTCATGAGTAAATCTCCTTTATACTTGTCCATCAGGTATCCCTTTTATTTGCAGTATGGTCTGCTAGTGCACAGTGTCTAGGTTGGAAATTATTTTTCTATAGAGTTATAATGCTGTACATTTTATGAAAATGAAGTAGTTGTAAGAATTACTGTTACTAAGATGAATGTCACCTTAGGAGGATAGGGTCATAAGAAAGTAAGACTGGAAGGCACTTCAGATGGTTATTTAGTTCAGCTTCTCTGCCCAAGTTAGGATCATCCCTGATTAAACCATCCAAGCCAAGTGTCTCTCCAACCTGCTCTTGAAAACTTTCGAAGATGGAGATTTTACAATTTCTCTAGGGAGCCTGTTCCAATGTTTGATCACTGTCCTAGTCAGGAAGCTCCTTCTAATCTCCAACCTAAATCTCCACTACTGCAGCTGCAGGCCATTGTTCCTAGTCCTGTCCTCTACAGCCACAGAGAAAAGCCCATGTTCATTTTCTCTGTAATTGCCCTTCAGGTATTTAAGGATTGTTATCAAATCCCCCTCAGTCTTCTTTTCTCCACACTAAATAACCCTAGTTCTTTCAGCCTTTCCTCCTTAGTCTTGCCTCCCAGGCCCATAATCATTTTTATTGCTCTGCAACAGACTCTGCAAACTCTCCACGTCTTCCTTCATGTATGGGGCCCAAAACTGGACAGAGTACTCCAGATGAGGCCTTGCCAGTGCTGAGTAGATCAGAAGAATCGCTTCCTTTTATACGCAAGTGACACTACTGCTAATACAACCCAGAATGCCGTTGGCCTTTTTTTTTTTTTTTTTTGCAACAAGAGCACACACTTGGCTTGTATTCAGCTTCTTCTACTGTAACCTCCAGGTCCCTTTCTGCAATATTGCAGCTTAGCCAGTCATTCCCCAGCCTGCTTTTGTGCATGCAGTTATTCTGTCCCAAGTGGAGGATGTTGCCATTGTCCTTGCTGAACCTCATTTGATGGATTGTGAACCATATCTCCAGCCTATTCAGGTCATTCTGGATCCTAAACTTGTTCTCTAAAGTATCTGTAACTCCACTCACCTTGGTGTTATCTGCAAATTTGCTAAGCATGCACTTGATTCTGCAGTAGAAATAATTTAATGTTGAACAATGCTGGACTCATGACAGCCCCTTGGGGAATCCTACTTGATATCTCCTCCCAACTAGATATTGAGTCATTACTAATTGAGCAAAATGGTCTAATCGGTTATGTCTACCTTATAGTACTTCCATCTATTTTCTTAGCTTTTTAATATCATGAGTGTCATGAGAGAGAGTGTGCAAAGCCTTGCTATAGGGGATATCCCATCCACTAATCTCCTCTTACCCACAGAGCCTGTCATCTTATCACTGAAGGAAATCAGGTTGATCAAGCATTGCTTGTTTTTGGTGAATCCATGCTGGCTGCTCCTGATCATTTTGTTCTCCTTCAGGTACTTCACAGTAGAATCCTAAAGGACTGCTCCATGACTTCCAGGTATGGAGGTCAGGCCAACTGGTCTGTAGTTCTATGGATCTTCCTTCTTCCCTCTTTTAAAGATGGGCAGTATATTTGCCCCTTTCCATTCATCCAGAACCTCACCTGACCTCCACATGTTCTCAAAGAGCATAGGTAATGTTTTCAAAATTACTTCAGCCAATTTCTTCATTACCCTGAAGTGCATCCCATCCGGTCTTGTCAACTTGAAAGCATCTAGTTTCTCTAAGTAATTCCTAATGTGTTCTGTCACTATTCTAAACTGTTTGTCTCCTTACCTGTCTTTACTGCCAGCTTCATTTGTTATCTGGTAGCTGCCCCTATTTTTAAAACTGAAGTAAAAAAGGCATTAAATACTTTAGCCTTCTCTATAGCCTCCATAGACTGCCATCTACATTCTGCAAGGGACCTGTGGCTTCTCTGGTTTTCCTCTGATTTTTGCCATACTTATAGAATCCATTTTTATTGTCTTCTATGGCCCTTGCCAGCTGGATCCTAAATTGTGCCTTGGCCCTCCTGATTTTCTCCCTGCATGCCTGTGCATTACTCTTATACTCTTCCATAGTACTATGACCAAATTTCCACTTTTATAGAATTCCTTTTTTGAGTTTCTGCTCATTGATGAGATCGTTGTATAACTAGCCTGGTGTATTCTTTATCGAGAATCAGCAAGTTCTCATATTGTTGTTCTCAAACTGTTCTGTCTCATGGAAAAGTGACCACATATTGGGTGCAAAAAGGACATTAAGGACATCAAAGGACATTACACTTATCTCTCTCAACTTTTTGCAAATTATTGGCCTGCTGGAGTTAGAAACCAGTTAGGAATCTTTGTGCCAAGGCTTCAACACTTCATTGACATACAGTTGATGGAATCATAGTTAAACCACACTAAAAAACCTGTTTTCACTTGAAAAAGAAAGTATTGGCAACAATGAGAGAGATCTGATGAGTGTCTTGTATATTGCTTGCTTATTCCTTATATTGAACTATTCTGAACTAGCTTACAAACTAATACATAGCTCTTCATAGATTCATGGATGCTAGGGTTAGAAGGGACCTCAACAGATCGAGTCCGACCCCCTGCCTAGGCAGGAAAAAGTGCTGTGGTCAGATGACCCCAGCCAGATGCCTATCCAGCCTTCTCTTAAAGACCCCCAAGGTAGGGGAGAGCACCCACTTCCCTTGGAAGCCCATTCCAACTTTTGGCCGCCCTTACTCTGAAGAAGTTTTTCCTGGTATCTAGCTTAAATCTGTTCTCTGTCAGTTTGTGACCGTTGTTCCTTGCTACTCCAACAGGCAACCTGGTGAAGAGAGCATCTCCGATCCCTTGCTGCATCCCCCTAACGAATCTGTTAGGCGGCCACAAGCTTATCTCTCATCCTTCTCTTGCAGATGGGTGAGAACGGTCACCTGGACCTGGAACGGTCCAGGTCCCTCAGTCTCTCCTCATAGGGCTTGTCCTGTAAGCCCCTAACCATACGAGTGGCCCTCCTCTGGACCTTCTCGAGTCTATCAACATCCTTCTTGAACTACTGATTTAAAAAAAAAACAGAGCAAAAACAAATTAAAACAAGAAACCCTCCCACAACTAAACTACAACCACAGAAACTAACCATTTAAAGGGAGGATTTGCGTCCTATCGTTTGTCTCATTAAGTAGACAGATTGTTTTATTTTTTCCTATTGAAGCTCTGATTTTGCAAGTTTACTTATGGGTAAAATAAACTTTAATTTACAGTTGTCTTATTAAGATTGGGAAATGTGCAAATGGTCACTAAATGTTTTACTGAACATATCTGAGACATTCACCATTTCAATGATCATAGAGAAATGCCTGATTTATTTTTCTCTTCTTTCAGACTGATGTGTGAAACCGTAAGATATGAAAGACACGAAGCAAATGAAGTTCTTTACTAGTAAGTATTTCATTTTTCTCCTTCTGTGTACAGTTCAGAGAGCTAAATCATTCCAGAAAGCAGTAAATGGGGGGGGGGGTATGGAATTACCATGGCTAAGTACAGATGGTCAAAAAGTCTGAGGCTGAATTGATTCAATCTTCACAGGTTAGTCTAAGCTGTGTAGGTTGAACCGATAAGCAAGTGAACAGATATTTGCTTTTGGTTCTGGAAATTTAGCCACATGCCTGTGGTGTCTCAGCCGAGAAGCCTGGGGGCTCTAGAGAACACCTCCTTGCTTAGCTGGAACAGGCAGCTTTGGCCAAGGCTAGCCTGCCTACCCTGTGATGGGGGGATTGTGGGGGAGGTTCAAAGCATCCTGGGATACCAGGGGAACGAGTTAAATTGAATCTGGAGAGGATCTGGGACAGAAGTTCAATAAACCAATTTAATCTAAATTAGTGAAGTCTTATACTACATCCATGCAAACTTATCTTAAAATGGTTTCAGCAAATTCGAAAGCAGTTTATGTGCATTGAACTACTGTTGTGTTACAGAGTTGAACTGTTTTCTGATCACTTATACTGGTTTATATGCAATTTCTGCCCCTAGCCCATGTTTTATAGACACAAGTGAGACACCTCTATTTCTTTATCAAGCAGTGCATCAGGCTGTGGCCTTGAAATCAAGGCCTTGGCCTGTCTGATGCAGCAGCTCACCCTGGTATGCCACCTCCCCAGTGGCACACTGGGCAGACACAGGTGGCCAGAATCCTCCAAATCCTCCACCTGGACCTAGGCACATACCCACTCCCTGCCACCAAAGTGGCTAGCAAAGGTCAGCTGACCTCGAACTCTTCCTATATAAACCTTTGACTTGGAAGGGGAAGTGTCCGGGCAACGAGGGTCAACCTTGTACCTAGGCTGCTGCACCCTTTGCTCATGCTGCTACTGACTGACAGATTCCTTGGATACCTGACCTTGTTCTCTGCTTGGCCCTCTGGATACCTGACTTGGCTCTGGCTTTGGGTCCTGGATACCTTATCCAGCTAGCTTCTTGACCTCGTGCTCTGTACAACCCTTTGGATCCCTGACTTGGTTCATCAGACATATGTCCTGAATTCTGATTTCCTGGCTTCTCCTGACCCCAAGAAAGACTGGCTGCCCTGACAAGTTGTCCGGACCACCACACGCAGCAAAGAGGGCTTGACATGGAGGCAAACTCTATACTGGGGCTCTTGGATCAGCCTCTGCCAGACCTGATCTTTTCTTATCAAGTGCTAGAAGATCAGATTCAGCAGTTGTTGGCGCAGAATCGGTTTCTCTGCTCCCAGGTTTACCAGCTGTAAAGCAAGGCCTCCACAGGTTACCCTCCTGGCCTAGAACCCCGTTTACCCATCTCCAGAGAGGTACGATGGTGACCGGCTCTGTTTTTGTGGGTTTCTCCGTGCTGCATACTATTCGTAGCCCAACCCAAGATCTATTTTTGAGATTCAGCAAGGTTAAGCCTAGTGGTTAGTCTTCTAATAGGAGATGCTTTGAAATGGGTCACACCTTTGGTGTAGCACAAGAGTCTGGTCTCCAAGATTGGGAAGCATTCCTCAAAGAATTCATGGTCATGTTTGGAGAGCTTCAAGTTAGGATGGCAGAGACTGGACTGCACTCTGTGTCGGGGGAAGATTCTGTTACAGCTTATGCCTCGTTCTTCCATTGTTGCACAGCAGACAATGAAATAAAGCAGTCCAACTCCACTATTTCTAATGGGGTCTGTGGAAGGAGATAAAGGGTGAACTGGCTTGGGTGGAAACAGCTTCAGAATTTGATGCGTTCTTGGACCTGGCTGTCCAGATTGACTTCCAACTCTGGGAACGCAGAGAGAAAAAGAAAGAAACAATAAAGAGCAAAGATGGTTCACTCCTGGCTTCAGGGCCTGTGGAATGGGAGACCAACAGCAAGGCTCAGAACAGGCTCAATACCCTTGCCCTTTCTTTTCAAGAAAACTTACCCCAGTGGAACAGAAACATGAGATCCTGTATTGTCAACTCCTGGCCATTTGTGTGGCTTTTAGGGAATGGCACTGCCTTGAAGGAGCACAACACAAGATGCAGGTCCTCACAGACTACAAGCATTTAGAATATTTCCATAAGGTAAAAGATCTTAGTTGGAGACTGCTGCACTGGGCACTTTATCTGCCACTTAGATTTGCAAATCATGTACCAGCCTGGGTCCAGAAATGGAAAGGTTCTCTCAGAAGACAGAGTATTCTGTCTTCATTATCCCAGAAGACAGAATATGTCGCTGACCCTATGCAGGTGCCAACAGAATGCAGCCCTATTTCTGAAACGACAAAATGTCATCAGTGCCACACAACCCATAGGCTTGCTGACCCTGGTTCAAGCCACCACTTAAGAATTTCCCCCTGAGGAGCAGGCTACTCTTCCCCAACAGATCTCCTGGATTCTGACTTCCTGGCTTCTACTGACCTTGAGTTTCCCCCAGACCTGGCCACCCATGGCTTGGCATGACACACTGTCAAAATATTACAGACTTAATTTGGTGTCTATGATAGAACAGATGGTTGTTATTTTTTGTGGATGTGCTATGAACTATGTATGTAAGCAGTGAAAGAAGAGAGTTAGTGGATGTGCAATGTCATCTCCTCAGATTAAGCTGTCATCTGGTTGTATGTCCATTGAGTTAAAACAGTGGTGACTAACTTTTGCTACTAAAGGTGTCAGATCAACAAATCTAGCATGGCTGATAATTAGCTAGGGATATGAACTAATGTCACTTCAGATTTAGCATAATGCTCTTAAGAACTATTCTTTTGTGTTCTAATTACAAATAAAATTGCTAACTTCCAGTTTTTATTTAAAGTAGAGATCATAAAATATTATGTAAGGAATAATGCAGCCTTACAAATACAACTATGACACTTTGCCATTTTTTGGATGGATAATTAAAATATAATTGCATTTTTTTTTTTAATGTCATTGCTCATCTACCTTTTGTCAAGATCATATTTGTGCTCAGGTTTCTTGACAGTTCTGCAAGGCTTGGGTTAATGTCTAGTTTAACCAGTTTAGTGGTATATCTGGAAGATCCACTGTAAACAGTTTGTAGATATTGATCTACTCTGTTAAATGAGGATGGTATAATCTCAACTAGTTTGTACATACCAGTTTTATTAATGAAACTATTGGTTAAATTTTTCATTGCATCACCTACATACTTCTGTTCTAACAACTATCATTTATACTTTAAAACACAAAGTTCTACCTATTCATTAGTGTAAGCAGTAAAAAGAATAGGTGTCATCCTTTTGTTTTTATTTGAATTTTTTATGACCAAATAGACTGCTGTTCAAAATTAATATTCATAATATTTAAGGACTCAAATGACCTATTTGAGAAAAATATAAGACGCAAGCAGGGAATCCTGAAATCTGGGTTAATTTATAGTGCCTTATACCATTCCTTTGAATTGATTTATTTTGTCAGTCCTTTCATGTGACTTCATCTTCACTTTGGTCTTCTGCCTGTCTTTTCTATTTATTCACTTTCTGACTTTTTGGTGCCTCATTAGGTATTACTGGCAATCTGGCAGTTTCTTGAGCTAGACAAAAGTACAAGCCATGTGTGCATTTTTCTGGCATTGAGAACTATGCTTTTTTAGGACCGCTATTTAACTGGGGTTAATCCAAAACCAACATTAGAATTACTTCTAATGGAATGTTTGTCATCTGATTTTAAAATGGCTAACAATAGGTCTCTTTGAATTGGAGGGTGTTTTAGTATATAGTGAGGTCATATGCATCTGTAAGAAAAGTCTTATAAAATTTACAGTTTTACAGTTTCTTCTAGTTTTTGAAACTAATATTCAGTATATTTATACTTTATAGAAGGAGCTCTGCACTGAAAATTGCTGGAATGTCATTCCTAATTGTGTGTAGTATATTGCCTTTTGTGCTTTTCTTAAACCCGGCATAGGCAAGAGATGTACTGAGTTTTTAATGGCAACTTTTTAATTTACAGATATATTCACTAGTCCTTGTTGCCATGTATTTCAGGAAGTGCAGGCAGTAGAATATAGAGATTTTTCATTTTTAGGTCATTAGTTTGAACCCATTCTGTGTCAGTAGTGAAACAAGGTTCTTTGACTGTTACGATATAGGGGACATCAACAATTTTTTTGTTGGATATTCCTAAACAATGCAGCTGGAAGCTCTCATTCCTTGGAAGAGCCCAAGAATTTAAATGGATATCGAGACTGAACTTCAGCTTAGAAACTACCTGTTCTGTCCATACGGTGAGGGCATCAGATTTTGGTGCTCTTAGCATGTAATCTTACTCAAGCACCACAATTCATGTTAAGAAAAGGCTGAAAATCATTGCAACTATGAACGTTAAACAAATGGCCTCTCCCGGGCATAAATTTAGTGCAACTTCCCAATGTTCGTATATTTTGATTTCTCTGTATGTTAATATGAAAACCGATGTACCAGTTAAGTGCAGTGAGCTATCCAAAAAAGAGACATGCGTTCCTTGTGCTGCATTTCTCTGTGATAAGGTACCATTTAGTTCATATCTCTCCCCATACAAAAACTTGTGTTCTCAACTAAACATGGATTCATGCACTTAATGTAACATCAAACAGAATTATCCATGATGATCTTTACATTTTATCTTTGTCCCAAAACAAATAAGCTGTTACTATTCGTAATACCTATATAAATCTTTAATTTATTTAAAATGGCCAAAAGGGAAAAATTGAGCTTGTTGTTTAAAATTGACTTAACTCATCTGCATTTACTATCAGCGGGTGTACATCTCTGCGACAAATTCTTAAACCCTAGGGCCTTCTCATTGTTTAACATGAAAACTGGGTTATTAAAAGTGGCAGTTCAGCTCCAGTTACTCTTCATTTGCCAATCATATCTACTGCTTCTATTTGATATGAAGTCAATGATGAAAGGGCTAAAATCCTTCAGGGTAAAAATTCAGGTTTGTGGTTTTCCTGACA